GCTGGAGAAGAGTTTTGTTGAACATACATAGGTCTGTCTTGGGGAGGTGAAACCAAGTTTCTTCTTGGAGGCTAGGATTTTAAAGGTCTGCCTCACATATTTTGGGCATGTGGCCAGAAGGGACTGGTTCTTGGATAAGGACATCATTCTCAGAAGGGTGGAGGGACAGTGCAGGAGAAGACAATCCTGGATGAGACGGATTTGACACAGTATACTGGGGCAATAGAGGTTGGTGTGTCTGAGTCAGAGAGACTGGCTCACAACAAGGCAGGAGTCAGAGCTGTTGTACACAGGGTCACTATGAGTCACAGGTGACTTTATCACATATAAGAACAGTAATAGTTGTGAGAATTGGAGGAACATGTCTGGTTTCATGCGAAGTTTTTTTGTGTGGTGGATGCTCTTGATGGGGACATTTCTTCCTTGTGGAGTTAGTAGAGTTTGGATACAGCCATCTCAATGCTGCTCTCACTCTTTTTATACTGAGTTGGCTGCCGGGGGACTCCAAAACCCCAAACTCCTTGCTGTCAAGTCAATGCTCACTCATGGTGACTAAGCTCTTGGGGATTCAACCTTGTTAAAGTCAGATGCCAATGATGTGGTCAGTCAATCAGTCATCTATGGCAAGAATTGATAAGGGGGAAAATACCCCTTTATATTTGTATGTAGAGTCTGGTTTACTTCAGTGTCACTTTAGATCATGTTTTTAGTCTTTGTGAATTTAATTTTTCAAAAATTATAAAGTATGGTATACATATATAAAAGAGCATAAAACCTTACTATCTTATGATTAGTAATTGTTAGGTGAACACTCAAAGTATGAACTTTTCTGGGGACACTATACTAGCAGCTCTTCTCTTCTTCCCTTTCCTCCTCAAAGTTAATAATTTTAAATATTTGGCAATGACATGTCTGACAAGGGAATGATATCTAGAATTTATCGAATACTCGAGCACCACAACAAGATAAAGGTAAACAACCCAATTGAAAAATGGGTGCAGGATATGACACTTCACCAAAGAAGACATTAAAATGGTGAACAAACTCATGAAGAAGTGTTCAAAATCCCTAACTCTAATAGAGATGCAAATCTAAACAACATGCAATATCATCTTACTCCAGTAAGAATAGTAAAATTCAACAGAGCAGAAAATAGCAAATGCTATTGAGGTTGTGGAGAAACTGGAACCCTTAATCATTGTTGGTGGGAGTGTAAAATGGTGGAAAAATTATGGAAGGCAGTATTGTGCTTTTTCAAAAAGTTGGAAATAGAAATACCATTTGACCCAGCAATTCCACTATTGGGAATATACCCTAAAGAAATAAGAACTACACCCCCCCCCCAAAAAAAGAACTACACCCAAGCAGATATATGCACACCTATGTTTATTGCTGCTTTATTCACAATAGTAAAGAGTTGGAAACAACCCAGGTGCCCACCAACAAATGAATGGATAGAGAAGCTGTGGTATATTCACACAATGGAATACTACACTATATTGAAAAACAAGGAACTTGGGGGATCCAAGATAGTGGCAGAGGCAGAGACAGCGTGGCGAGCTGCGGGAGCAGTGGACCACTTGGAGGAGGGCCACCGTGGCCTTCTACAGACCTCTGTTTATTGATAATTGAACAGTTAAACAGTTGATGACTGGTTTTTGGTGCAGACTGAGGCTCAACATCAGGAGATCAAGGATTCCCAGGGAGGAATGGGTGAGTCCCATGGCTCCCAGCTCCCTGCTGCTGAGCCCGCACTGCTGCTGCAGCTCCATGAGGCTCCCACCACCGGACCCCAGGGATCCCCTCCCCTAGGATGGACGGTTTGCTCCCTTTCCTATAGGTAACCTTAACACTGAGTTTCACTCCAGACCTGACCCTGAACCCAGTTCCAGAGACAAAAAGCAAATACCACTGCCAGTTAAGGAAGCAAAGGAGGATGGAGCTTCAGGGTTCAGTCAGCCATCCCCACTGGACCCACCTGGGAAAACACTTTGCAGTCCAAAGGGGAGTAAATGTCAGGAAAATATCTTCTAACAGAACAAGAAGGCAAGCAGCTGTAACCCAAGACCACCAGTAAAATGATAAAGTGTGCTCCCTTTCTCCCTTCATATCAAAGACCCTGTTCAGCATGAAGAAGCCAGAGAGTCTGTACCACATTCCCAAATGAGAAACCCACAAGTGAAAAAGACAGTTTGTTTAATCACCATTGGACTATGCTTACCATTGATCTGTATCATCTGGTCCCCACTGGGTCCTTTTCATTTCCTTCACCTGCTCCCCCCACCAACCAAATTGTGCAGCTCTGCAACTGCATCCCCGCAATTTTCATCGCTGTCCATCCTCACCCTTCTGCTTCCAACCCTCATCTCCATGTATCCCCAACATGTTTTTCCCAATAAAATAAAAAAAAAAGAGAAAAACAAGGAGCGCATGAAATATTATACAAAATGGGTGACCCTGGAGGACTTTATGCTGAGTGAAATATCTCAGTCACTAAAGGACAAATACTGCATAGTGTCTCTGTTGTACAATGGGACAGACATCGGGGTTGGAGGGAACCTAAGAAAAGAGGGAATAAATAGTGTATACTGCTTTGAAACAGATGAGGGAGAGAACTGTTTAAAAGGAATATAGGATTGGGTATTATTTTCATGACAAGATTACAGAAAAAGAAATGCACAGTAAAGTGGATTGTGGACTTGGGAGAGGATTGTACAACAATAAAATAATTTTTTTTTCAAAGAGAAAAACAAACTGGTGGGCAGGGAGGGAAATATGCAACAATGAATGAATGGGGGAAAATTAAATGGAAAGAATATGCTGTAAAAAAACAACCCAAACCCCAAAACCAAACAGATGGATCAAGGCACCAAAAAGAAAAATCAAGCATGTCAATTTACTATAAAAAGAAATAATTTTATTGACTTTTAAGGTAATCACTTCCTGTTTTTTTCTGAGTTTCACCACACAGGCATGTCATGCTAAGCATTTAGTTTTGTTTGGAACAAAATTTAGTGTGTTCTTTTTTCCCTTTGTTAAAAAGATAATATATAAAATGATCCCTAAAAAGGAGGTATAAATTAAAACAAAAATAATATTGATGTTGTTGAGTACTGTTGAGTACCATTGAGTCAGAATTGGCCTATAGCTGACCCTCCAGAGGGTTTTCAGAGGCAGTTAATATCATGAGAGGAGATTGCCCACATACTTCTCCCACAGAGCAGCTGGGGGACTTGAACCACATGCTTTCAGGACTGCAGCACAGGTTCTCACCATTAGGCCACCAGAGTTCCCCCAAAATAAGATTAGTAAAAAGTAAAATATTTTTGACAAAGATATGGCTCTAACTTCTAAAACAGATCAAAGGGACACACTTCCTAGTTTGAAATCAGGAAAGGTATATATCAAGGTTAAATACTTTCATCAAAATATATTCGATCTGTATGCGCATATGTGAAGAAGAATGTGGCATCAGAATTGAAGGATGATACATCAATAGCCTTTGATATACAGTTGACACAACCTCGCATGCAGAAAGAAAAAAGATTTGAAATATATACTGATGAAACTCAAAGACGAGAACCATCAGTATGGATTATGCCTCAAGATCAAGGAGGCAAAAATCCTCCCAACAGGACCAATAAACAACATCATGATAAATGGAGAAAATGCTGATGTTTTAAAGGACATCATTTTACTTGTATCCATAATCAACACCCAACGGAAACAACAGTCAAGAAATCAAGCAATGAATTGCAATGGACAAATCTACTTCAGAGGGCCTTTTTAAAGTGCTAAAAGATCAAAGAAGTCACTTTGAGAACTTAAGTATACTTAGTTCATGCCTTGGCATTTTAATAGTCTCAAATGTATGTGAAAATTAGATAATAAGGAAGACTGATCCTACAGTAGCTAAAACAACAGTGGTTATGAACGGAGCCCTGATGACACAGTGGTTAACGTAATTGCCTAGTAATGGAAAGGGCAGCATTTGAACCTCATTCCATGAGAGAGAGCTGTGGCAGTCTGATTCCAAAAAGATTTGTTGTTGTTATTATGTGCTGAGGAGTCACCTATGACCCACAGCAGCCCTATGTACAACATCTTTGAACTCTGCCCTATCCTGAGCCAGTCTTACCGACTTCCACACACCTAAACCCATTGCCCCAGTTTTCGTGTCAATCCATCTCATTTGGGTTTTCCTATCCTGCACTGTCCCTACACCCTTCCAAGCATGATGTCCTCCTCCAAGGACTAGTCCCTCCTGGCCATGTGCCCAAAGTAGGTAAGATAGAGCTTCAGAATCCTTGCCTCCAAGGAGAAACTTGGTTTCATCCTCTTCAAGACAGACCTATTTTCTCTCCTGGTAGTTCTTGAAAATCCTATGTTAGGTGCTCTTGAGTTGAGTACAATTCCTAGTGACCCTATAAACAACAGATGTGAACCCTGCCCTCTCCTGTGCCATCCTCACAGTCTCTGAGCACGTGAGCCCACTGCAGCAGTCACTGAATAAATCCACCTGCAAGAGGGTCTTCCTCTCCTTGGTTGGCCCTCCTCCTTTCCAAGCATGATATCCTTCTCCACGGAGTGGTCTCTCCTAGCAACATACCCAAAAGTGTACAAGATGAAGCTTCACCGTCCTTGCCACCAACGAACATCCTGGTTGCATCCTCTCCAAGACGTAGCTGGGTGTTTTGTTTTTGTTTTCCAGAATGGGCCAGTTCTATTTTGTCTTGTGGGATTGACATGTGCCGAGATTGACTCAATAGCAAAGATCTAATGGGTATCTCATTGTGGTTTTTAGTTTTACAAAAATTGCAATTTCATCTCTAATATTTCAGTCTTATGGAGATCTTGTCTAATCACTGTCTGTAAAGTCACATACATGCCTTCCCCAAGCACTCCAGTTACTTGCTCTCTTTCATTTCTTTTGTAGTAGTTCCCAATTTCCAGTAGCTACTCACAAAGTGTTTGCTGGAGGAATTAAATTTACACAGTACCTGGCTACTGTAGGCCATGAGGACGGCAAAGCTGGACAGGTGGATGGACGTGCATATGGTGTGACTCTCGTTCACGTGTACCAGGAAACAGCCGTCTGTGGACCAGCGGCCACCGTCCTTGGAGTTCTTCCAGTAGACACAGAAAGGCTTTTTGTTTGTCTGAAAAGAGAGTGGGCTTATCATCTTCCTTCTCAGGAGGGACACTTACCGAAGCCTACATTGCGTGCCACACTGGAGACACCTGGATTGAGGATGATGCCGGTGATTCTGATTTTAAAAGAATACGATGGCTGCCCACACTCTTACTACTATAGCTGCAGCCCCACCAGGTTAAGAACAATTTAAGATAAGGCTAAGAATTGCTGGGAACTAGAATTTTAGGAGATTTCACTAGTCTGAGGATCTTTCCACTATGGGCATCTAACAAAAAAAATCAAGTTTGAAACAATTCTGTTCCTAACAGCGGGAGAGAGGAAGACCGTCAACAAGACAGATTGATACAGTGACTGTGGCAATGCGCCCAAGTGCGTTTGGGATGATGAGGATGGTACAGGATAGGACAGAGTCCAGAAACGTTGTTCTTAGGGTTGCTATGAGTCATAACTGACTCAATCGTCCCTAACAGCAAGATCAACAAGAAAAAAGAAAGAGATGATGTATGAAAAGAGGTCATGTGGATAGAGGGAATAAAATTAGCCTTCAATCTACTATATCTGTTTCCAGGAGTTCTTAGAGTATCATTTCACAGTGACAAGGGAATGATTAGATGTCCTTTTGCTTGGGGACCTTTCTCTTTTGATAACATGGTGTGCCTTCCCAGACGTCTTATCAGTTACTCTGCCCCATTACATATATAAAAATTCCAAACCTAGACTTCCTCCACTAGAGAGAAACCTACATTTCCCTTCTTCACTATTCTGAACAGAGAGGAAAAGAAAAGGAGCAAATGAACTCTATTATACAGGTGTTTGTTAATTCTCTTAAGAGCTTGGGCAGAGAATAGGCAATGGATTAAGTGAAAGGGTTATTTCATGACTCATGCAGACAATACTTAACATCAAGTTTCTATGTGAGAATGAATATTAGTCTCACTGTCCAATAGAAATACTGGTATTATTTTAAAAAATGCCAACTATATAATTTAAAAAGATCTACTAGTCACATTAAAAAAAAAGAATAGACTAGTGAATTTACTTTAATATTTGGTTCAATTCACAATATCCAAAATATTTTTTCCAATGTGTAAGCAATATTGAAACATTAATGAGGTTTTTTACATTCTTTTTTACTGTTATAGTTGCTGAGTTGGAACCAACTCATACCTGACTCTCCAGAGGGTTTTGGTTTTTTAAATAAATTTTTTATTTATACTGGTTTACTTATAAAGTTTGTATACATTGTTTTTCACACCAGATCTTTCCCATTTTCTTCACCTATCCCTCCCTGCACCCATCAAATTGTGTGACTCTATGATCTAGTGGGTTTTAAGAGGCAGTAAACCACACAGGAGGAGACCACCCATTCTTCTCCCATGGAGCATCTTGTGGATTCAAACCGTGTGCCTTTGAGATTGTAGTGTGGCTTCTCACAACTAGGCCACTATTAATTCCATATTAGGACTATTAACTCCGTATTAGGACTTTGATATATGGTATGTAATTTACACTTGGAGCACATCTTAACTCAGATTTGCCACATTTCATAAGCTTAGCAGCTGTATGTGGTTTGTGGCTACCGTGTTGGTCAGCCCAGGTCTAGAAGTACTGTCTAGGCTGCATACACAAGCTTTTCAGTCTACCTCCCTGAAATTTTTGTGAGCTCAAACCACAGCTCTGACCCACCTTTTTGTGCAGAAAACTCAGTGTGACAGACTTGGAGATAGAAGTGTTCCTTTTGGGTCCGATAGCCGCACTCACTACCTGGGAATTAAGGTAGACTCGATCGGTCTCATTAATTTCTTCAAAGTAAGTTGCATCAATGATGTCCCCAAGAGAAGTGTATGAAATAAAGGCAATTGCACTTGGACCTGAGGAAATAGAAAAGTGGAATAACTATTCCTTCTTGTCCACTACTCCGCAAGTAGAAGACCTTCCTGCTCTATACCTGCTGAGCACCTTTGATCTTTATACTCGTTCTCAGGAGTTCTTGGAGGTTCACACCTCCACCCATGTTCTTCCTACTCAAATCCAACTCCTCAGTCTGCTCTGACGCTTGCTTCTCTGAACTTGTATATAGAATACAATGTCTTTTGTGCTAACAGGCACTATGTTCTTACGTGCCTTTGAAATGACTACGACTCATAGTGACTCTATGAACAATGGCTCCGAATCTTGCCCTATCCTGAGCCAACCTCATTGTCTCAGACACACCTGTTCTCATTGCCACTGTCACTGTTTCAATTCATCTCATCCAGTGTCGTCTTCTGTGCTGACCCTCTACTCTTCCAAGCATGATGTCCTTCTCCAAGGACTAGGCCTTCCTGGAAACATTCTGAAAGTATGTGAGATGGAGCTTCAAACTCCTTGCCTCCAAGGAGTAAACTGGTTTCACTCTCTCTAGGACAGATGTGTCTGTTCTCTCGTTTAAGACTCTTCTCCAGCATCACAACTCAAAGGCATTGCTTCTCTCTGCCATCCTTCGTCATTGTCCAGCTCTTAGATGTATAGCAACCAACTGAGAAGATCATGGCCTGGATCACCTTAGTTTCTAGGCTGACATTATTGCTCTTTAGCACTCTAAAGAGGTCCCTGACAGTAGATTTTCCCAATGCAACTAATTTTTTTTATTTCCTGACGGCTGGTGCCAAGGACTATCAACTCCATGCTTTCCAACTACAGATCCTTCTTCCTGTTGCCAGTTTTTGAATTCCAGTCACCTACAGGCCATGGTCTTTGAAATCACTTGTTATGCATCAGAGAGTTGGACAGTGACTAAGGAGGATAGAAGGAGAATTGATGCCTTTGAGCTGTGGTGCTGGTACCATGGACTGCTAGGGATTCTGAGGCTCCATCTAACATACTTTGAACATGTTGTAAGGAGGTCCTTGGAGAAGGACATCATGCTTGGGAGGGTGGAGGGACAGCTCAGGAGGGGAAGGCCCCCTATGATGTGGATTGATTCAGTGACTGGGGTAATCGGGATGGGTGTATCGGAGATACTGTGATTGGCACAGGACAGATCAGGGTTTAGGGCTATTGTACAGAGGGTCGCTATGAGTCGCAAATGACTCGACAGCACATAACAACAACAACAACAACATTGTTTTCAATGCATCTTGACAGCACATTTGGTCAATTTCCAACTGCAAAACTTGGTAGAAACCATCCATTTCCTCCTCTTTGGCTCTGGTTGTTGGTTATTTGAATGCCAGTGGTATTAAGTGGTATTGTATGCATATGGATATTATCCTATTGCTCACAACATTATATTTCAAGATAGGTCTAGAAATGGTCTTTTAAACTATGTTTAAACAACCCATTCTTTCTCCCCTTTTCATTTCCAGTGTCGTAAATCATGTGATTGTCTGACTCAGAATGTCCCATGTCCATCAACCTTATTTTGCCAATGCCTTGTATATCAGTCTTTATACATTCCATTTCCTCTTTGACACTGTCCAATTTTCCTACATTAATACGTCTCGCTTTCCATGTTCCAATCACTCGTGTCCGATTGCAGCTATATGAGGGCTCAGCCTCAGCACCGTACCTGTCAGTCTAATGTGAGCATGCTCTCTTGTACTGAGGGTTTTTGAAGGCCTGTTGTTTCAGAAGCGAATGGCCAATACTTTTCTATTCCGTCTTACTCTGGATGCCCAGCTTCATCACAATATCTGACAGACAAGCACTTTAACCAAAGAGCAAATGAAAGACATTGTTTGATGACACAGTGAACAGATTAGGTGTTGGTCCTCCCACCCCATCCCATTCATGCCACGGGTGCTGACTGTGGATCCAAAGATGGAATTGTGCTACCTCAATCCTTTCTCTGTCTACCACGATACTGCCCATTGGCCTGGTGGTAAGGATCTTGGTTTTCCTGATGTTGAGATGCAATCCATAGTGAAGGCTGCAGTCTTTGATCTTTTGCAACAAATGCTTCAAGTTCTCCTCTATTTCAATGAACAAGGTTGCGTCCGCTGAGTAACACAGGCTGTTGATGAGTCTCTAATTCTGATGCCATTCGTCTTCATAAAGCCCAGCCTCCACAAGGATCTGTCCACTGTCCACTAGCTGTTTCTTTTCTTTTTTTTTCTATAATTATACTTTATTAATTTTCATAAACATTTACAGAGATTTTGGGTTTCCATTCATTCATTGTTCCACTATTCTCTCTACCCTCCTCCCAGTTTGTTCTTGTCCAAATGCCACAGTGCTTGTCAAAGCCAGTTCTGATTAATCTTCTTTGTCAGTGTGTCCTTTGCCATTCCCTATCACTCCTCCCTGAGAGAGACTTCACCCTGAGTCATAAGGAAAAGGGGATGGCGTATTCTCTTAGCTACTTCCTGCTGAAAAGGGACGCTGTGGGTTTCAGGGTGAAGATCTTCTCTCACTACTCTAAAGGGCCCCTTTGGCAGTAGGAAACACATAGACTATTATGGAGATTGATTTTGGAATTCAGATGCACTCTTATTGATTGTGCTTGGCTGTATGTACATATCCTTGAAGATGTATCATGGGGGTGTTGCAACCTAGAAGACACAAATTTGACTAACAAGTTATAAGTACATGAGTCCAAAAATTATGGAAAAGTAAAAGAAAAGATTCTTTCATTGTTTTACAAACCCTCCCCCAGGTCCCCTCCACCATGTAGCCCTCGCTTTAGTCTCCTGTGATGACAGAAATACCCAGTTACATCTCTCTTTTAGACGGTTCTCTCCCTCTTCTGCTTCAGTGCAGTATACATTATTGAACCCATCTTACTCAGTGTCTCCCTAACCCCAAGGACAGTCCCATTCTACAACAGTGGCATCATGTAATATTTGTCCTTTTGTGACTGGGATATTTCACTCACACTAGCTGTTTCATACTCTGGTAGCAGAGTCCATAGGTGACTGGGCAGCTAACACAAAGGCAGCACCTCTGTGGTGGTTTGAACCCACCATCAGCTCCATGAGAGAAGGAGAATCAATCTCCTCCGGTGTAATTGACAACCTTCAAAAACTTGCTGGAGGATCACATATGAGCCAGTTTCAACTTGCTGACAATGAGAGAGAGAGAAAGAGAGGCAAACTTTTTCATGTGAATTGAATAATACTATTTCCCCCAATAGACTATAATTATCTTGAAGGCAGTGATTATACAGGATATTTCCCTGGGAAACCAGATGGCTCCTGGCATACAGTGAGGATTCAGCTAAAGGCTAATTATGAAAATGCATACTTACATTTCTTAAAAAAATGAAATTACAGTTCTGACTGCCGTTTAGCACGCTGCACATCAGCTGGTGTAGCACATGCCTTCGTATACTAATATTCATTATGATGCTCAGTTTTGTTTGTTTTGGCAACAATTTGCTTTAGCAAAAATCCTTTATTTCGGTATTTCTATCAATGACTATTCCTTGCTGTTTCAGTGTGGTGCGCTTTATAGCTTCACAATTCTGTTATCCCAGTATAATCTGTAGTGTCCTAACTAAAGTTACTGACTTGGTCTTAAATGTACAAATTTTGTGTCATATTTGCTTCTTGAATCTGATTCACTAGAATATTTCTCTTATCCCCTTTTGAATGTGTGTGTTGTCCTAATTTATGTGTAGGATCACTACACCAGTGGTTTCCAACAGGATACATGTAAGACACACAACTGTGTGCAGAAAGTAAAAACCTTTTGTATGGAGGATTAATGAGGAACATCTCTATATTCTGTAGGAAAACAAAATCAAATTTATATACTGAAGTCATTTGTCCAAAATTTTAAGTTATTTTCAAATAAAAATGCATTTCTGGTATGAAAAAAATAAAATTACATTTCAAATGCTTAGAAAAGCTACAACCAGGAGAAGATAACATAGATGAATGGGACCTTCTAAGACTCAAATCCCTATGCACATCCAAAAACTTCTCCAGTAGGGCAAAA